CCTGTAATCCTAATTCTAATTTCACGTCAGTGTCAACACGAATAAAAAGTATGAGCTTTTCATATAGTTTGATATATTTATTTGCATTGTTCGCATTTTCTCCAGGATGCTGAGAAGAAGATGAAGGAAAGCCAAGAGGAAGACGAGAGAAAGAAGCGCGAGGAGGAGAACAAGAAGAGGAGAGAAGAGGCAAAGGAGGAGGACGAGGAGGAAGAGGAGAAGGAGGAGGAGGAGGAGGACGAAGAGGAGGAGGAAGGGGAAGAGCACGAGGAAGAGGAGGAGGAAGAAGAGGAGGAGGAAGGCACAGACTCTAACCTCAAGGATGAGTTATAAACTCAAGAACTGCTCAGACTGTGTCAGTGGGCCGTTGGAATAAGGCTGAGACTGAGACCCTGACGACTGACACCCCGGGGCGGGGGCTGGGTGGGAAGGGCTTTTTCCATTTCTTTGTTTACAAAGCAAGGTGATCGGTCAGAAAAGGGCAATTAAATGTTCTGTTTCTTGTTTCCATGTGCTACTACTACTATTATAATGATGATTATTAAACGAGGACTAGTGATAAGCATAATTAATGTCAAATGAATGTCGAAACCAGAAATTTTAACACAAACGTGTGAATTGTCATTTACATTTTACAAAATCTGGGTTGTTATGACGTGTGATATTGTGATGAGATGAGAAGTTTTATTTGGTATGGAGGTTTTGGTACCAGGAAAACGTTTGGTTTACCTCACGTGTTTTGTTTGCCTTTAATTTTTTATTTTTGTACATTTTTCTTTCATTCCTGTCGGGCTGGGAGGATTAGATTTGATGTTGTCATCCAGGTTATTTTGCCTTCTTCTGTTTCCACTATCTGATTCAAACGAGGATTGTTGGCACGGCAACCATTGTGCAGTAGGACTAACACTATATTTGACAACCTGATCAAAAGTGAAAAAAGAAAACAAATCAGTCTGCAGTGGGATGGTAACATGAGGTGCTTTAAGATGAAGTCCCTTGCATAGTTTTGTACTGTATAGGTAACACTTTTTCCACTTCAGTGCACATACTATAGTCTCGTGTGTCTAAATAAGCTCTACTCAAACTTAGGATGTACGTTAAGACCACTCCAGTAGCAGAACATTTGGTCGTGTGGTACGCACACACTTTAGGTTTCCTCGCCGTTTGTGTATACGTCTCGTTTCCTGATTTTTTGATTCCAAGTTTTCTGCACTGCTGTACCCCAACACACTGTCCCAACAGTCTGACAGAGGCTCCTTTTGTAAAAGACATTTTGTACTAATGGTAGTAAATGAAGTGGGGCGATTTTTGTGTTGCTGTGTAAAATAAAAACAAAGGCAGGTGATCTGTCCAATAAAACAGCCAGAAGAAAACAATGAAAAGATCCTTGTGGAATTTTGTGTCTTTTTTTGTGCGTGTGTGTCATCATGTTTTATTTATCTGTTCTCCCTTTTCCCCCGGGTGGGTTTTCTCCAGCTTCCTCCCAGAGTCCAAAGACT